TAATGAGACCCGAAGGTCAATTTTGACGATTCCCTCAAGCCCTTGTTGCATCTTAGATTCTTAAGGAAATATCAAGAATTTCCGTTTCTATCTAAATCAGAGTTCATGTTGTCAGAAATAATGTTGACCTTGAAATGCTCGGTGCCTATGCGCTTGCAGAGGTGAGATGGATGACTCGGGCAATTTTCAGGGCCCTTGTAGATATGAGATTCCTCCCTATCCTGCGCGAACTAGTGTCATGCAACTTGCGCCTTTTGACCCTTTCTTCACTTATCTCTCAGTCCACATTTAATTCTGTGTCGATGGACCGCGGGCCAGACGGTAAATTTCTCTTCATTATTTCACACGTTCTGCTCGTGGTTGTGCCGTCGAGATGCCGTGTGACAGCGAAATTGAACTCCTTGCAGTCTCAGAAGTTCTTCTCCGCTTCGTGCAGGTCCAGGATTAAAATCTGGTGGGGCGCTAGAAGGAGGCCTGTTCGTAGCAACTGAATTGAGTGGTTGGACTTTCTTTCATTCTTGTCATTTGACGAATGATGTTTCGAATCTTGACTATTCTTCAGTTAGATTTTATCCTCATTCTTTTCTGAGTCGCTTTTTTATTAACTTACTGTAGGCCGTCAGGTGGGTTGTTCAGCACCGTCAAATGGCAACCATCGTTTGGGAGAGCAAAGTTCTGCCTCAATATCCTTACCTGTCCGCACCACTTGTTCCACTCTCTTATCCACGGCTCGTGATATTAGCTGTTTTTCCTCTGGATAAGTTGCAATATCTCGAAACAAGGATTACCAGGAACAGGTATACTGTTAGTATATTTCATTGCCGATATTCCCATTGATTTTGAGGTTGATCATGGTGATAGTACATACTGCTAGTTAACTACCCGATATAAAATTCAACGACAATGATGACGAACCAAGCATGGTCTCCTGGAAGAACGACAAGAACCAACCCTAGAATTAGTCAAGAAACGCATATCCAGGCTTTTATATCTGAAACCCAGGAGACGGACGATGAATAGATATTGTGGCATTTTGCACTTTCACAATAAACTAGAATCGTCTAATGCTTAGCGAACGGTGAGCTGGCCTAAATAGTCAAGCTTCAATACCACTCCCCCGATGGGTTATAATCCTTTTAGCCCAGTGGTTAAATCCCACACGAACACAGCGGGAACTGTTTTGACTTCGAAATATATTCGGAGGACAAATAATGTGCTCAAATGTACACGAATGATCAAGACTGATTAATATCATGTCTAAACTTCTACTATATTTATATCTGTTCCGTCGGATGCTCTTCAGCACCACTAGAAAGAAATGACACCTGTCGTTTCCCGAATTCTCTGTCATCAAGTTTAAGTAGTTGTTTTAATAAGTATTGACTAAAGTCTCCGTCAAGCTCAGATTCTATTATTGGACTGTGTGGATTATTATGACCATGGCTAGGGTCGATAACAGGCCAAAATTTCTTCTTGACCTAGCCAGACAGACTCGATCTATAGGGCTGAGGGCCCATATTTCATAGTTAGTTAGGTGATACCGCCTCTAGTTTCTTGTCTCTCGATTGGTTGCCAGCATTTCGCCTCAATACCTTTGATAAAAAGGAAAGAATCCAGCAATATGTGATGTTTTGCGGTGGTTGGCTTTTGCTGCGCGACAGTATGACAGAGTGCAGATTGCTACAGAAAGCAACGTTCTAATTAATTAACTTTTCACTTATTAGAACTTGGAGCATGGTGAATGAACCTGATATTCCATACAAAATTCTTTACGGCGGTTATTAATAAGGCTAGGCCTTCCACACAGCAGATGTGGTGGGTTCTCCTCAAGTCTAATGAAGGAAGAAAAAAGTTACTGAGACAGATGAACTGATTGTAGCGGGCGTGGAAGGCGTGGAAGACTTGTCGTTGGGATCAAAGAATTCGGAGAGCACTGTCGGTAAAATTGCCTGTTGCCGAGGGGGTGGGTAGAATCACAATATCAACGAGTTCTCAAAATGATGTATTCCGTCCGGCTTGTAAAGCCAACTTTGAAAAGCCTCTTGCTAAGGGCAGCAACTGTCACGCGACGAATAAGGGGGGTGGGGGGGGGGGATCCCTTGACTTCCTAATTACTACGCCTCCGACGAACATCTTTCTCTATTGCATCCCGCCATGTCATTTCCTCCATGAGGTTTTCTCATCCACCCGAATATATGGGAGAATACCTCTTTGCGATTTGAGTGTGTAGCGTCTGGTCCGGATGAGAGGTTTATGGACAATAAGGTCTGCTTTTCGTAATTCAGCTAATGTTGTTCCTTTAGAACGTTGATAAAAGTAAAAGATACATCAATTTTAAAATGCTCACTCTCAAACTTGGGCAGAGGCTTCCCTAATGTAATTCTCTTTTCTCCTTCACTCGTATTTCTAGAAAGGCAAATTTCACATTCATGGATTCAATCCCACACTGGGTGCATCGCTGCGGATGTCTCTAATCTAGAAGCGGCTAGTCTGTTTTGCTGGCAGGGAGATGTTATGACTCTTCCTGAGTTTATGAAGACCATGACTGCCACATTGAAAATTTCTTGTCCGCGGTGGGAGACTACTGAAAGCTTGTCACGATCGTCTGTGAATAAGCATACAGGAATAGCTGTATGAAAATGGGTTGCGCCGTGTCAAATTAGCAAGTGATGCGTAGTAGCATTTGACACCCAGAACGAGTCATTTAGCTAACTACATCATGTAACTAATCTCGATTGACACCCAATATGTTGTGGGTAGAGATAGCATACGAAATCCGAACGTTAACAATATCGCGAATTCGCCAACTCGGGCGTGATGCGCGTGTATTGGCAAGACTCCGAAAATATTTCTTTTGGGAATTGAATCGCTTGGGAAAAGAGCATTAAACGGGTCCTCTTCAGGGGGGAAGATTAAACGATGTCCTCCGCAACCCTGGCAATTTGGCCAATCCAGACAAGGATAAAAAGTCCAACTCTGGATGCCAATTCCCTTATTAGGTGGGTCTCCCATAAAAACGTGTAAGATATTTAAAGTGGGTAAGCCGTGCTTCTGGATGTGATAGTGAATAGCCAGGCTAGTGAGGGTCAGAGAGCGCGAGCCCGACTTGGTTGATTGATGCTGGATCAGCCATAAACAACATAGCGGGGAGCGTAGTCAACAAAGGAAGAATCACCAATGCTCCGACGTCGTCCTCATTACGAGTCTCGGTAAACTACTCTAAGTCCGCCCAAGTCTGTGCTGGTCAGGAGATCCGGGTCAATCTACTCATCTGTTGCTCTGTGAGTTATCAACGGTAAGTTCGCCAAGTTTAAGATAGAGAGATATACTCACATGCGGATCACCGCCAATACATAAGAGAATTGTTCAATCCCGGGTTGCTTTTGAGAACAGACCGTATCAATCTTCACTCAGTTCGTCCTCATACTTGAGGTAGTAGGCGATTGTAGAGGGAAGGAGACCAACAGTCTAATACCCACAAGGTCAAGAAACCTGCCACATGAGGTGTGGATCGCAGAACTCACAAGCAGTGTCTTGAGCCATTGGACTTTTAATATACCTAGTATGTATGAAAAAGGTACACGGTATGTCGGGGTTCGGACTATTTCAGCACCTATCCAATTCATTTCAATGTCTAAAAGACTTGTTCTCTGATGATTTCGTCCTTTATATCGACGATAAAAACGGGGTGTGTAAGACTAACATCAAAATACTAAGAAGTGATGGTAGACTATCCTTTAACGTCCGGATAGAAAGTGAAGGCAGCTATCCCAAACGTCGAGTATATCGAGAAAGCCGGGTACGATGAGGAAAGGAAAAGTAAAGAAAGAAAGGAGGCAGCACCCAGCCCACAGTCGGAGATATATACCTCATAAGCTTTGCGGTGAATTCACCCAGATTCCGGTGCTAGACGCAATATCATATAGATCCCCCAGTAGGTGAAGGATGGATTGGGCGGGAATTTGGGGGTTTTACCACGTTCTTCACGGGCCACAGTTTGATCATTGACAGATGGCTGGAGTGAATGGTATGTGTGCATCATCATCCTAACTGCTTGCCCCCGTATATTCAATGATAGGGATGATTGCGATGATTGAAGTGCCCATATCAGGGTGTATCAGCAGGATTTGATGATTTGCAAAGCGGGGTAAAGAGAGGTGCAGGGAATGGAAACGGTTGAGGGCTGGACGCCGTCGAAGGACGTCGCAGTGATCCATCAGTACAGAGTGGTAATGTCCCTGGTAAAACATGCTCTCTAGCTTCTCAGAATCCTTAACTGGATCACTGGGACGACGTGTGGATGCAGCATAAAACAAACGAACTGATGTTAGGCGAGGTATGGATGTTGACCGATGATGGAAATGTTGGGGGGGAAGAGAGTTGGGGGAAGAGGTGGGGCTATCAAATTGAACTCCGACGTGTAAACGAGTTACCCCTGACTGCTCCTCGATTTTATGTATGTTAACATTAACTACACATATAAACCAGGTCTCGCGGTCAAAGGGGTTCCTGGTCTGCCGGGCATGATGCCATTTTTTATCTTATATAGAAGAGGATAGTTATGCTAGGCTAATGTGTATCAAAACTGACGTATCCGTAACACCGAAGAAATAAGAAGAGGTGGATGAAATGCTTAAAAAACGAAAGCAGAAGGCCATAAGAAACACAAATCGCTATCGAAGAGAGCTTTATCGGAGCATCTGAAATAGAAATCGAAAGGAAAACACTCCCCAACGCCACATACATCTGTAAAAGCCACAATAACGCACAAAAGGAGATATGTACAGTACATACATACATACAAACAAGATGCTATGATCGAAGTCAAACAGCTATAAAGCTAAAAGGAAGAGAGAGAAAAAAACAGACGCTTAGGTTAACCCATTCGCAGTTACCTTTGTAAAGATAACCCTGCAAACACCTTAAGAAAAAAGGCTATACAAATCCCCTTCCCCACAACCACCACCTCCAACCGCCGTCCCGAAACCAAAACCAAAAACCTATCCCCTCTCCCTCCTCAATCTCCTCTTTTTCCTCTGACACGCCTCAATGGCTTCCTCCGTAAGAATATCACCAGGCAACTCGAACTCCTGCTCTCCTATCTCCGGCAGCGGCTGGCCGAATGCCGTCGCCGTCGCTGTCCTGGTGCGCCAGCGGCGGCCGCCGTGTCTGCTTTTGCCAATGGCGGCGTCGCGCAGGTAGCGTTTCGTATAGAACGATGTGAAGGGTTCTTCTGCCTCTGGTTGCGGTTGCGGCTGGGATGGTGGGAGGAGGGAGGGTCCCGTTGATGTGAATGTAGTTGCTGGGCTAGGGGTTTGGGGGACTTGGTCAGAATCGTGGCCTGTATGGGCATGGTGGGAGGTGGAGAATGTTGGGGAGGTGGAGGTGGAGGAAGCGGTGGGAATGGGTGAGGAGGGTGAGAGGGCTTTTGAGGCGGTGAATGGGTGTGGAAGAGGAAGAGGAGGGGGAGGGGGAGGAGGAGGAGGAGGATGAAGATGACGTAGATTGCGGTAGCGTGCTGTGGTGGAGGAGGCTGAGATGGCTTCTTGATGGAGCTGGTGGGCTGCCCAGGCATCGACATCATTGATGTCTGGGGGCTCACCGTAGGTTTGAAAGTGTGGAGAGGATCGTCCCAGCTCCCCATCGTTGAAGTGGGAGTTGGTATCCTCTTCCTCTTCCTCTTCCTCTACCTCCTCTTCGCCGGTTTCATGTTCGTCGTTATATTCATCCTCATCCTCCTCTGCAAGGATCTGATCCCTTTCTATTTTCCTCCGTTTCTCCTCCTCCTTCCACACTCTGAACTTCTCAATTAATGCCGTCACCTCTTTGATGAAGTATGCTCGTTTGGGTTCATATAATTTCTTCTCTGTCTCCGTGATTCCGCTTATACCCATAACTCGCAGCCAATCATGGCCCTGCAACTCATCCAGTAAACGATCAAGCTGCACTTTCTCATGCTGAGCCCTCTCCCGTTCAATATTTCGAAGTTGCTTTTCTTGCCGTTCGAGCCTCCGATGGGCTTTAAAATAGACATCGTCATCCAGGGGATCTTTTGATGGTTTTTTGTTGTTATTTGATGGAGAGGGCAAGTCTAGTATTTGAGCGTCATGGAGCTCGAGGAGCGGGTTGTTCATAGCTGATTGCAAGGTGTAGCCATTTTTAAGATACTTATGAACCTGCTTCCCTCGTGATTTGGGCGCTGGGGATTTTGTCGGTTCAGGGTCAAGTACAATGGCTTGAGTGAGATCATCGATCAGTAAAATACGTGTGTCTGCACAAAGAAATTCTGCTAGGATTAGCTCATGGCAAATTCAGGATAAAATCAAAGGCTAAAGAGCTGGTAGATATGAAATACAAAAAGAGTGGACAGCTGTGTACACAACACATTGAATGCAAGGTAAGACTGATATAGCACACCAAGCGAAACAGTAAATAATATAAAACATACATAAACAAAAAAGAAAAAAAAAAAAAGAAGGGTCTAAATCCATATAAAAACTCACCAGGCTTAACCGGCTCCAAACTAACAATCTGCTCATAATTCTGAAAATACATCGCCAATTCACTCTTCGACCTCGAACCGCCATCATTGGATCTTAACGATCTCTTCTCCCGGCTCACAACAGCGGTGGAAGGAGAAACCCCATTATTCTTCAGCCCATCACCATCGATGATACCACTACTCATATTCCGGGCTCCCAAATCATCATCGGCTTCGGCATTTTTGGCACCGGTATTGATACTATTATTGTTGTCAATTGTATCCCGGAGGGTCGGCACGGCAGCCTTATTCTCCACATCTCCATTCACCGCCACGGGTCGGTTACGCAGGTGACGGTGAATATGCACAGATTGTCGTGTTGTCCGAGTTACCGCCGACGGGGATGCGGGGGATGCAGTAAGGCGGGGCGGAACCGGTATTGTGGAGGCAGCGGACTTAGTATTAGCAGTGGTGGTGGTAAGTCTATCAGTAGTTGTAGTTGCAGTGATAGCTGTGGTTGTCGTAGGTGTTGTGGTAGCGCGACCAGTGGACGAGCGGGTTCGTGAAGCCAGGGATGGTTCGGAGGGTGCTAGAAGGCCCTGCGAATCCCTGCTGCACAGGGGAAGTTTTGCAGGCCTGCTGATGGATGCCTGGTCATAGTGGCGACCATCCAGTTTTGCCTTTTTGAAGGGCCGGTCGGAGGCCGGAGTCGTCTTGGTGGGTTTCTGTTGGGGTTGGGAGTGGGATTGGGGTTGTAGAGCGCCGGTGGAGGGCGGGGCGAACGGGAGCTTCGATTGTATGAGGGTATTGCGTCGTCGTCGTCGTCGTCGTCGTTGTTGTTGTTGTTGTCGTTCTTGTTGGTGCTGTAACTGTTGTTGGATTATGGAATGTCGCCGGGTGGTGACGGTTGAGGAATTATTGGGTGTTGTTGTTGTTGTTGTTGTTGTTGTTGTAGTTGTGGTGGTGGTGGTGGTGGTGGTGAAGGAGGGAATTTTGCTCTGTGGATCGGATGTTGATGGGGGTGGATCTTTGTGTCGCACGGAGGAAAATCTCAACGTTGGCGCTGAGCGAGCGACCATGGCGGGATCGAGATTGGTCGCTGGTCGGTCATGGCCCTTCTGGTCATCAGGGGTGAAAGTGCTGCGGAGTGTGGGTGGTTTTTGGCGACTGGACTGGATAAGAAAATAAAGGGGTGATTACAGAAACAGGGCTGGATTGTAGATGTCCTGTTCTTCTTGGCGCATCTTGTGCATCTTGTGCATCTTGTTGCCCTTGTTCGTCTGGTTCGTCTTGGTTCTTGTTGTTCTCGTCCTTGGTTGCAGGTCGCGAAGGGGGATGGCGAAGATGACGATACACGCGTGGTGACAGTACGCCTGAAAAATTCTCGCAGATTGGCTGTGGTAGGAGACGGTACTGCTTCATACATGGAGGACACGTAACCAAATGTAATTTTGTGAGAACAACCCAAAAAAAAGGCGCTGTGATATGTATGCGTGTGTGAAATTTACAAATACTGGTACGGGTATTGACCTGTCACAAATACTGGCACGAATTAGGTCATCCTCCACAATCTGAAAGAGCTAATATTATTTATGCACGTGCATTGCCTTTTATATACACTAGTTTTGAGCAATATAATTACCATTTCTCGCTTCTTGTAGGGCCTATTGGCTCTAATTATTCCATGCCCCCAAAGATTAACTGGAGTAGACATCTATGCTAGACCAAGAAAAGAGTCCCCTCCTGCCGCAATCCCAACTAGCTGCATATCATAAACAGAACAAAACTTGAAGAAGGGTATATATACTAATTAAATTAGAAAAAATTGAAAGAATAGATAAAAGCGGGACGTATGAGAGGGCGAGAGGGCCTCATCACCCAGCATGACTGAACAGCACTTCCTTCAGCACAGCAGAACCGGAAAACTCAGGATTAAGGAGGACGCAACTGAATCGAAACAAGAGATAAAAGAGTAAGTAACTTCCCGAACCTGAACACAAAAACCACTAAGGAAAAAACTTGAAAAGAAGGGGAAAAAAAACTCACTTCAAAAAATATGCTAATCCAGCCCGTCTCGCTTCCAGGAACTCGGGGCTGAATTTAACTTTGAAATCGTACGATTTAGTCTCACTCACCAGATACGAAAATAGGACAGAACGCAATAGGAGTTGGGACAGCGAGGGAAGAAGGAAAGAGACATACAGATCGCACTCTTGGGCGGCAGCTGGGGCAGCGCGGATTTAGCATATGGGAAAGCAGAGGCGAGTTTGGAGCGAAGGTCGTCGAATTCGGAGTATCTGTTATTTTTTTAAAATTTATTTTTGACACGAGGTGTCAGTCTCGCATATTTATCCTCGAGGATATTCGAACTGGATATTCCTTTTATAGAGAGAGGGAATTAGTGAGAGAGAGAGTGTGAGAGAGTTTACATACCTCATCCGAACCACTATGGTACCACCCTATCACCACCCACCAATAACGCGTGAGCAAAATCAATCCGCAAAGCCGCAGAAAACCAACAAAGACAGACTACAAGCTTCACAGCAAGACAAAGTTTAAAAATAATAATAATAATAATAATAATAAAAAAAGGACACCAACCTCAAGCGTCTCAATCCTACAAACCCAAACCACATACGCGCCAACCCCAAACCCACCAATCCCCATGCCTTTGCCCTTGCCCATACCTATGCCCATACCTATGCCCATGCCCCTCTCGCCCTTCCCCCCAACAACAACATAATCATCAATCGTCACACTGCGCGCCCACAACCCCTTACTCGCCTCATTCGTCGGATCCTCCGTGTGGTCTTCCAGGCGAATGAGAGAGGTTCGATGCGTGGTGGTGGCGTCTAGAGAAGCCTGGGATGCATTACTGTGGTGCTGATGGAGCCAATAGGGCGGGGTGACGGGGGATGTTGATGTTGATGTTGATGTTGATGGTGGAGGTGGTGGGTCTGGGAGTTTAAGGTTGTAGGTGGTGGTGGTGGTGGTGGTGGTGTTGAAGAGGGAGACGGGAAAGAAGTTTCGTCGGTGGTTCTGGTTCTGGTTCTGGTTCTGTTCCTGGTGTTGCTGCATGCAGGGATGTTGGTGTGAGTTATTTGGTTGATAGGTCGGAGTGGGAAATTTGGGGCAGCGGTCAATAGAGCGTATGCGGATCTAGGGGTGTAATGGAAACAGTTATCTAGTCGTAGTCGTATGGTGGCAGCGGAAGCTGCAGCGGGTCACGATTGTGGTCGCGGGTAGCACACTCTATCTCATCTGTCAGCGATTTGATATTCAATAAAGAGATCTGAAGAGATCTGAACTAACAAGCAGAATTTGATTGGTATTATGAGCCTTGTTGTTAATTATACATTAATAGGAACCGATATATCAGCTCCACGGCAACAAAGATTCTCCGTTTGTTGATGAGAGGAATCGTCATCAAAATCAAATTGAGCCTCGTAGTTGCCTTCGAAGATGGGCCCACGTGAAATGCTAACTAACCCCTATATTGGCTAGCCTGTTGATAGCTGGCCAATCACAGACGCGGGACCTTTTACCGGCCCGTGCGGAAATTGAGTTTGGTCTTTTCACGTGAAGTCACATGCCCAGCATCTTGGCGGCTCAAGTTCGCTCCTGACTGTTCATTGGTAAAAAGGGGCAATAGGTATATATATATATATATATATACGATAGATTTCGAAATCTCAACTTATTACACAAGCATTCCAGCAGAACCGTATTTGAGGATGGGAAGAGGACAGTTGCCTCTTCAGCAGTTGCATTATTTCTTGGCCTATCTGGACTCGTAGGCTTGAAGGCTTTCAAAACAGACCCAAGTTCAACAACTGAGCGTCGTAGGTTGATGTTTTAAGAGGAGCCAAAGAAAAACGCTCCCTGCACGTACCTCACGGAATGTCCATTGGAGATAGACGAGGTATATGGTGGATAGTGAAGTGTGCGGAAGAAAGGGCAGAGAAGAAGAGAACCGTCTACGAGCAACGGTTCTAAATACCCATTTTTTCTTGTTTCTCCAAATGAAAAAAACAAGGAGTACCTAGTTATAATATATATAAATATACTCACAAACTAAAGAAATTATATCGTCAGTAATTTTCCTTGTCACACGGACATTACACATCGCTGCAACAACAAATTAACCATTGTCGTCGACACTCTTAAACCAAAACTCACTTATCATTCTCCTAATGGCAATTCGTTTCCCAACCATCCCCTGCTTGATCAGAGTTACGGAAGGCCCCGGACTCGGCCTTATCGACTGCCCCACCGATAATCATGAGTCAGTTGTTGGCTAAACGACGTGTCAACTTTCCGTTTCCGCTGCCGAGTGGTGCAGTGGAGCAGAGGGTGGAAACGGTTAGCTGGGAGGGAGGGGGGTTGAGATTTGTTGACCACGAGGTATGGATTTGAAGACGGAAGAATTTGGCGAACGTGAAACGATATCCTTAAACCTCCCCCCCCCCCAACAACCAAAAAAAAAAAGGAAGGGGGGGGTTGCCTCTGAAAACGTCTAGGCATCTCTTAATTCATGTTTTATTTTATTTTATTATTTACTTCTTTTATTTTTGGAATGTGGGAGAGAGATCCAAAATATTTTTTAATATTTCCCGTTAGTTAGCGTCCTAAGATGTAAATTAAATATGACACAATATCTACGGAGGAAACATTATCGCTGCAAAATCCTCTCCTGCATGCTTTCGCCGAGTGTCCCTTGCCCCTCCGCCTCATCCCAGACGCCGATGTGTCATCATCTTTACCTGCTCCGGACTCGAGGTCGCATTACCAACCTCGGGCACAGCCTGGAATTTTATTTTTTTCTATAAACCACCATTTCAAGGCTAGCGCCACACCCAAGCTTCCCCCGTTTCCTCCCAGTGGGTATAGCTTTGGCCAATCAGCAGCTGGCCCAGAGATACCTGGAACATCACATGGGATCCATGGAAGTCAGGGATCGTTGATCGAGTGGTGACGGTGAGACATTTCCCCCCCCTGCTCTACCAGGGATTCGAGGATGCAAGGGTCGTTACCCAGGGTTCACAGGGCAAGTGTGGAGGAGGAGTTCTGCATAGATAACCAACCGTCTATCATGACCTGGTGCTTGGGATGAGCTGCAGCATTTGTCGCACAAGGAGAGAGCCATGCATGCCATCGAAGAATTTGTCTGGGCGTGGAGAGCGTGTCTTGGGGAGGATAGCTTGCTCAAGCTTTAGTGCCAGATAATAGATATTCACTCTTTGTTAGTGGATATAATATGGATACCGGAAATCAATAATAGTTATCACAAGCTACACCGAGACTTTCATTTGGAGTTTGGAACGGTTGGGAAGAAGGTAGCCAAGTCCTTTCAGGCTTCGTTTCTAGGCACCTCTTTTAGGCTTTACCAACCTGTTATCCATCCCGTAGCTCCCTAACATTTTAAGGTTTACTGCCCCCATCCCACAACAATCCCCTGCTCGGGCTGCTGTTGTCTGTTGTCTCGCTCGTTATTTTTCCTCCGCTGCTGCTGCTTCTTCTTGTTTTTCTGCTTCTAAACTCTTCTTTTAATACTCTTTCTCTCTCTTCCTTCGCTGCTTCGCTGTCCTTCCCGTCTCCCCGCTTCACAGTCACTCGTTTGATGTTCTCCTTCATCCTCCTCATCTTCTTCTTTTCTCCACTCTCGTTCAAGTCGGACAGAGCCTTCTCTTTCCCTCCAATTACTACTTCCTCCGCTTTCCCATTCTCCTCCCTGTACACAGTAGTAGGTACAGCACTCCAATTCTATTAACCAATTCAAACCCTTCGAGCTTCACTTATGTATATTTCTCAAAATCTAACATTATTCTCCGCAGTCATCATCGATCTCATTTTCCCCTGCATAGCATAGCTTCCCATTAACATACCACCAACCATGTTCGTCTTCTCCGTTCTCCTGACCGTCTCTGTTCTTGCCAGCCTCTCCAGCTCGCAAGGCTTGGATCCCAATAACATTCCACTACAAACAAGAGGTTTGTCAGCTCTAAGGAACTTACCAACCTTCCCACTGTTTGACGCTTCGTTGTAACCTTGGGACACTTATTAATCCACGGAAAATTTACAGTGGTATGGTGCCAAAATCAAATGTCCTCCTGCCCGCTGATATGCCTGCAAATGCCAAACGCAACCGGAAGGCCAATTGAAAACGGTTGTGATCCAGTATGAACCCCCCCAACAACCCCACTACATATATGTATATACAAACAATTTCCAATACCCCTACCCCAAACCAAAAACCCACTAACCTCCATCCCCAATCCTCCAGGCAACCTTAACCTTCTCCTGCGTCTGCTCGAACGGCATGTCCCCCAACGGCTCCCAATACTCCCTAACACTCTCCTACTACATTTGCACAGAAATGAACAACAATTGCGTCAAAGCCTGTAACAGCGGCGACTCCTCCTGCCAAAACAAATGCCGCGAAAAGAACCCCTGCGGTGCCCAGAACCCCACCCGCGTTACCTCCACAGCCACCAGCGGTGCTACGAACACCTCTGCGCCCTCTGCGACCGGTGTGGTTGATACAGGTCTTGGGGGTAATCCGGGTATGGCGCCGAAGGGTGGCAGGAATGGGGCGGAGAGAGGGTTGGTGTTGGAGATTGGGCAGGTGTATGGGGTTGGGATCTTGGTTGCGGTGTTTTTGGCTGGGTTTTCGATGGTTGTGTAGGTTTTTGTCGTTTGGTTGCAGCGGGGGGAATTAAATAATGGGTAGAGGTTTTTTCTTTTTTTTATTTCTCTTTTTGTTTTTGGGAAGAAACCGTTTACTAATTATAATCTTTCTCTGTTACTGTTTATGTCAGCTACATATGTTCCTTGTTTAGTTATCTATCTACTACTTGGCGTTTTTGCTGCCTGCTTCCAGGAAAATCAGCCGCTTTCTTGTTCCGTTGAGGTACACTCCTTTG